TAGTATTTCGTCTGTCCTTATACATTGCCTATCACGCGTTTCTGAATTTAATGTTGGGTTTTATAATTACTAGTTTATGATCGCTATCTACATCTGCTCCTGGACAACTCCTACAGTCCTCCACATGATTTGTAAATCTTTGCCTAACAAGTATGTAATCTAACTCATATCTCCCTAAATAACCTGACACCTTCCATATAGTAGTATTGTTGATAATGAATTAGCAAAATAAATTAGTGTGTAAAATAATAATAGCATACGTAATCCTAAAATGTAACTACTAAACGTGCTACAGATGGCGTTTACTGAGCCATTTGTAGTATTTTCAATTAGTGTGTAGTTCGAAAGGTGTTTGATTATGTGACAGTATTAAGTGAGTTCCGCAGCGCCTTCACGCGAGCCGCCACTGTTCGAGTTTAAATCGTTGTCGCATCGTTCATCTCTTCCCGTTTCGACCCTTTTGTCTATCGTCGTCCATTCGTTCCTTTGTGTGCTCAGTTATTCAGCGATGGCGACAATGGTTTCGTTTGCATTCTCATAAGCGTCGTTGTCTTTTCCAATTGGAACGAGCTTAAAACGTTAGGAAGTCCCCTTGGGCTTTTACGCTGGCAAACTCGAAACTTCCAAAGTATGTATCCGGGATATAAAATAGAACAGATATGTTTTCCCAACGTCGAGAATTAATAGTAGCTTGCTTATGAAATATCTGGGTGGCGGAGAGAGCGACTAGGGAGAGGGAGGGTGTAGAATGCTTTTCGTATTAAATTATTCACTTTAGGGTAAAGTTTAGTTTTTGCCGACATTATCCTTTTAACCGCTAGGATTACACATGCCAAACCGTAATTTCGATATTCTCGTAACATTGGTTTCGCGAGCTATCGTTAATCATTTATGGGAACCACATTGACCTCAGGGTCTTACTTAGGTTCTGTGTATCGAACCTAAACTCTTTCGGCTTCTACTTCGAAGCTGCTAATTATTATCTGAACACTTTGCAGTAACTTTTATTAAAAAGATTTTGCGACTAACGCTGATATTAAAATTTCAAGTTAACAATCTTTCTGCTAGAATGTTTATTTTTGAACGAATCTTTAACTTACTTTTTAAACTCAAACAAATAATTCATTTAGCTGGCTAAGGTCAGAATTGCCTTCAGAACGTCTGTCATAAAGTTAAACAATATTGTAAGAGTTCTCTTTTGTTCCATTGTTTGCAAGCCCACTTGTCGGATCGGAAAATCGTTCTTAAACTGGAATTCCTTCGGGTTCTACGTAACATGCCTGTGACATTTTCCTACCAGAGTACTCCCTAATAAAGACGTCTTTACTTTCCTTTACTTTAACAATACAGTTGTTTCTCTTTGTAGAATGTATTCCTTATTCTTATTGAAAGATTCTGCCAACTACAAGTCACTGAGTATGTTCAACGTGTCGTTGACATCTTCGATTATGTAATTTTTTTTTTTCGGATTTAGATCACCATTCACTACTCTCAATTCCACCTATTGATTGTTAAATTTATTTTCATTAAATTAAGGAAAAACAGATAATTATATTGGAATTACAATGAAAATTGTCAGTTTGCCTGCTCATCTACAAGTACCTACATTTATCTGCGCTGTTAGGGGCTGTAGTAGTAATTCATATAAAACATGAGATGTTTTTTTACATAGTACTTACCCAAAGTCTGGTATCAGTGTTGTGCAAATCAAACATGTATACATATTTGGAAATTTTGAAAATTTAGACAAATTGACAGCATTTAAACATTCTTGTAGATTAAGGGATGATTCCGAAGATGGGGGGTTGTTTACTGTACTTCAATGAACCTGAAGTAGTGTCTTAGGATTGACGACCTTATGATAATGATATTAAATAGGTTAAAAAGCAATAAAAGAAAAATTTAAAAGTTTTAGACGAGAGTCATATGTTTTCAATTAGGCAGTTAAATGGGGACTTTGAATGTGATCTTGACTAGACCTTCAAAGTCATTCGAAGGTTAATTTCTTCTTTTTACAAGAATGCACATCTTAGACCACAGCAGTGAAAATATTCTCAAATTTTTATGTAGGTAATTGGAAAAGCGATTGAAACTGATTTGTTGTTAATTTCTCATAAGTGCCTATTAAAGGATTAAGAATAAATGAACTTTAACGGTATTTTCATTATGAATTTCCATTTAGAAATTTGATATGACCTGCTAATAACCTCGGAGGTCAAGCTCATGGTCACATTCTTCTTCGAAAGTACTTTTGTTTAAAACCTTTTGCAATATTATTAAATCCAATCAAGGTATTTTATTGTCTTAGGATACATGACTTAATCCTGAACATTGTGGAGAGATATCTATCGGGTTGTTCGGAAAGTCATTTCGTTTTTTCCCGACAGAGGATTTAATTGTATTCTTTTGCACCCAACTTCACATTTAAGCCGTATAATTTTTATATGTTTGAGAGCTCATATAGCAAGGCTTGTGTGTGAAAAATTCCAATTAATTCTACGCACTAGTTTTTGGTTGGTGCCCTTTTAAATATGGAGAGCGATAAGCAGCATTTTCAATATATCTTACTGTTTTACTACAGAAAGGGTAAAAATGCTGTTCAAGCCAGAAAGAAATTGACTGATGTGTATGGAGAAGGTGTGTTGTCAGTACGCCAGTGCCAGAACTGGTTCGCTAAATTTCCATCCGGCAATTTTGATGTCGAAGATGCACCACGTTCGGGAAGGCCGGTTGAAGCTGATAAAGACGCGATAAAGGCATTAGTTGATGTGAACCGGCGAATAACAACACGTGAGATCGGATTGAGGTTAAATTTATCAAATTCAACAGTTTATGACCACTTGAAAGGCCTGGGATTATCCTCGAAGCTCGATGTATGGGTTCCCCATGTTTTCACAGAGAGAATTGACGTCTGCGATTCGCTTCTCAAACGTCACGAAAATGATCCGTTTTTGAAGCGCATCATCACTGGGGACGAAAATGGGTTGTATACAACAACGTCAAACGCAAGAGGCCATGGAGCAAAAAAGATGAACCGGCTCAAACCATTTCCAAAGCCGATATTCACCAAAAAAAGGTGATGCTGTCTGTTTGGTGGGATTTTAAAGGAATCGTTTTTTTTTTTGAGCTTTTACCGGATAACACAACGATTAATTCGGAAGTCTACTGTCATCAGCTGGACAAACTGAATGATGCACTTCAACAGAAAAGGTCAGAACTAATCAACAGGAAAGGTGTAGTGTTTCACCAGGACAACGCGAGACCTCACACAAGTTTAGTCACTCGCCAAAAGCTTTTACAGCTTGAATGGGATACAATGCTACACCACCATATTCTCCAGACCTGGTACCATCGGATTATTATTTGTTCCGGTCACTCCAAAATTTTTTAGACGGTAAACGAAATGACTTTCCGAACAACCCTATATCAATTAACGCGGTTTAACAAAATTCAAATTTCAAATGCCCGATTCGTCTTGTGAAACGCTAGTTGCTAAATTTTCCGATAAGGTGGAAAAGTGTGAATCGGAATTCCGTTTTCCTGCAAAATTTTTAAAACACATCGTTCGTAATCACTGTATTATCCTTTTTTCCTTTAATACATCCAGTTACGGAACTATGGCGATTAGATGGTTTCTAAATGTAATCACATAAAGCGGTAATGCGGCGTTAATTATTTTATTATATTTGGAAATCGACGAACCAGTGCCACCGGTAGTTCCACTTCTATTCGTGTTTCAAAGAGGATTTACACGTTTCGATGTGACGTAAATAGATTAATGTACGCATAGATGGTCGTATAAATTAATAGATTATTCCTAATCGTAACCGTAAATTGACTTTTGGTGGCACCGATTGCGATGTTCTTATCAGTTGGTGTACATAGAACGTACACATTTACATATGGGTAGATAGTAACGTAGGTTTGTATGTGGGATCAAAGATAAGTCAATCTATTTAACGTTCCTGGCACTGAAGGCTTTACACTTTCGTTTATTGACTGAAGTCGATATACAATAATATATACTCCTTATATCATCTTAATTGTCTACATATTTATTTGAAATAGTTCAGTTGGAAATACAAGTTTCATTTGAATGATGCAGCACAAGGAACTCAATTTTATTATCTTCGAAATTGTAGCTGTTATACGTACAAATCATATTTTCGAGACTATGTTTTTAGAATATGTATTGGCTGTCATATTTGTTAAGTTAGGTTAGGTTAGACAAGGATATCAGTGTAGACTTCGATAATGGCTTTACTTATACGGTTCGATTCCGGGTCCGCCCGTCTGCCTTGGTTCAAGTTTTTCTGTGGTTTCCTTGGATCACTTAGGTAAATGCTGGGGCAGTAATATTCCACAGATAATCTTTCACTCTCTTCTGTCTTCATTTCGTCCGTCTCAACTTTCTTACCCGAACCACCACCCACCCATTCCCACGATTCCTGAAAGCAGGCTGAAGAGGGCCTTCCGCCCTACCTTCCGGCGTAGTCCGGAGGGACTGCCCGCCCACCAGCATTACTGGCTGGTGGAAATGAAACACCCAAAAGTTTTTTTTTTTTATAAATTCATAAAATTTTGTTCTCTTCCCCTTGGAGTCCAGAACCTCTATTACTTAAAATAAAAACTCTCTATAACTTAAACGAATAATTTGGGCATCGCACCTCAGTAAGCAGTGAAAATTAGTTTGAATCGGGAGAAAGTCTTCTATGTAAAAGTCGAAGAATTGCTGAATTTCCTAATTTAGAAAAATGTTTGTTGTTTACATGGTTTAGACAGTGTAGAAATATGTAAAAACATTAGTGTTAGTGGACCTATATACTGAAGGAAAAAGCTGAAGAAAATCCATAATTTTAAAGCTTAAACTTAAACCCTTAGTAAGTAAAAACCTCAATAACTCAAATTGTTTTACGTTTCTCTTGGTCTTTATCTTATCGAGGTTCTACTGTAGAAGGACAGCTTTTGTTTCTACCGCTTACATTCTTATTCTTACTGACCTGGTGTTATGAAAGGATAACACGAATAAGGATCTAGATGCCGATGACATTGGTCATAACCGTCCGCGTTTTGGTTTTCCAATAACGACGGTGGCTGTTCTTCTTCAGGTGACCTCTCTGAACCGTAACCCTGGTCGCACAGGTTCGTTTGGGTGTCGGAGAATTTCCAATGTAGCGGGGCGGCTTCCCCCAACGGCAGCGCTCTGCTCTGCAATTAAGAAAAAAATACGTCAACGAATTGCATGCACGTATTGTACGTATGTACGTATTTCGATTATTGAAATGCCGGGGGGCTAACGTTAATAATGAGCACTCGGTGCACCGGTTCGGAACATAGGCGTAGGTGGCATAATTGGGTGTCCGGAGGCGATGCGAGAGACAGGCCATTATAGATTTATATGCAGATAAACGAATCTGTGAATAATTGAACTGAAAAATATTGGAACGTTTTTTTTTTAATTAGAAAGAACTATTGAAAATATTCTGGAAAAAAGGGTATGATAATAATTATTTACTAACAGAACACACTACCAGTCCGATGAGAATTCTTCGTGTAATATTTGCGAGATGACTGACCTCAGACTAATTTTAAAATTTTCATATATCGTATCACTAAAGCTGAAGAGTAACCTTTTGACATACGCAACATCATCAACACAGGGTCTTCAACCCGAAGATCACTTGAAGACGCATCTCCTCATCCTTCGATCATGAGCAACTGGAACACTGCATATCCTTAATGTCTTCGAAGGTGTCCTACTATCATATCTCTCCTACCCTTCTTATTGACTCATATAGCACCTCCTATTCCTTTACTTTCCCCAGTATCTCCTTATTCCTAACCTTTTCCTTTTCTGCAGTGTTCACCGTCCACGTTTAGCACCCGTACAAAGTCGTTCTCCAAACTCAAAATTGTATTATTTAACCTTTCGTCAAAACAGAAGCGATTTCTTTTTGTTGAAAGCGACTCAACCCTGGGCTGTTTTACATCTTGACTTATCTGACTTTATGAACCATTAGAATTAATAGGGCTAGAAGTTAGTAAATGTTATGGTTAGTATTCATCTATTAAATTTAATGTATTGTACTACAGAAGCTTGCTACAAAGTTAGGTCTAAAATATTACTGTAGGCATAATGTTTGACAACCCAATTGGAGTTTATGTATAGTAGTTCAAGACACTTATAAATGCAAACTTAATGGCGCACTTATTACAGTTCAACATTCGTTAATTTAACTGACTAATAGAAATGTATAGAAAGGCGTTAGAGTTTTATCATACGACTGAAGTATATCGGGGTGTTACAAGTACTACAGTTTCGCTTGAAACTGAAGAATTTATGAGGCAGCTTTAAAAAATTACATTTCTCTCTCTTAAATCGTAGATTTTTCACTATTACAAACAGCGTGAATTTATTGCAATGGCTAGTCTTAGAGACGAACTGCAAAGTGAAAACTGGTGTGATGTGATCAACATGAGTAATTCCTACAATTTTTCACCTTATTTCCTGAAATCCTTTTATTTTATAACTTTATGGCGTTATTTTCATTCAAACATCTCAGAATTCTTTAGACCCTTTTGCGTAAAAATATGGCCTGGGTGTGACGCGGAAGGTCCACACGACTAACTTCTCGGCAGAGAGAAAAAATACTATAGCGTTCAAAAATAGGGCCATGATATTTAGTTTAGATAACTAATGCCTGTTCTCATTTGGCTCTGCAAGCATCTCAGCGTTGGAAATTGATGGATTGTTACAGCTACCTAGGGGAAGATTTGGTGTATTGCAAATAGTTAAGGGTGTGAAGTGTTTCTGTTTTGGGAAATGGGAAGATTGCTTCAGGATCAGAAAGTGTGCACCCAATCAGTTTTGGGGTTTATGACTCCATGATGACGATGATGATGCAATTCTGGTTTTTTGATATCTTGACAATTTCGGTTATTTAACTCTAAAGTTTGCCGACTCCTCCCGTAACCTAAATTAAGCTAATGATTTTGTCGACGTGTGTTTGGGTCACAGCCTCTACCACACTCTACCTATGACCTTAAGGCGATCAAATATTAACTTTTAGACACGCCAAACAGTTCTGATCAAACAACAATTTTTTGGATATCAAATGTATGACTAAATTATGTTAAAAAACAGCGTACTCTAGAACCACGGATACATAGAGTATTATTACTGTATAGTAAGCCATATCGTGTGGCTTTAGACGTGACAACGTCTTATAATTCGATGGACGAAAAAACATGACTCATGCGGCGTTACCTCGCTCTGGGGCGTTCCATTTAAGGCTTGAAGTGCAAGCGAGAGCGCGGAACGAGCGACAAAGAGGCACAATCGGCCTCCGCGTTCGGCAGCGTTCGGCATCTGTCTCTCTCTCCTACTTGAGTGAGCGATGCATCCGCGTGGATAGCTGCTATACAACAATACATTTCCATTTACCTCCTTCTCTATATCCATACAAAATATCTATCAAACAAATAAAATTAAAATTTTCTTTTGAAAAATGAAACCATTCCATCAGTATTTTCTTATGACGTTGTCACGTTCAACTATCGTCAGTGAACCGACTTTACAGCAACCGATTTTTTGTTTCAAAAACTTCGTTGAGGACAACCAAAGGAGTTATAAACGTTATTGTATCCATCCGTCTTTTCGCTAACCTTCTGGTTCATTGATAGTCGAAGAAAACTTTAAATTAATAGCAACGATGCCAGTCAGCGTAATTTTTAATAAAGTGATTAGTGACCCCCTACATCAATTATTTCATAGCATTTTATGCCTTTGTTTTTCCTTCGTCTCCGTTTATTTAATTTTTTTTGTAAATCGTTTTTCCCAGAAACTCCGTACTCATTAAATTGCATCGAGCGAGTTCTTCAGAAGTTTTCGAATGAATTATTTATCTTGGTTTGAAGCTTCTTTCGTTTCTTTTTTCTCGTTCTACCCCTCCCTTTCCTCCTTTAGCCTTATTGCAACGAACAAGTTTCCAAGTTTTTGGGACCGTTTCAGCGATCTTGTATCTCCCTTACTCTCTACCCATCTCTTGTATTCGTTTTGAAATTCTTCTCTCGAGCCTCTTCTCTTTGCCTAGTATTATATTATCCTCGGGATACGGCCAATTTAACATTTTATATTCTCTTCACCCTCAGGATGAAAATCTACTTGTTTAAGTACGTACATATCATGCTCTTATGTCTCATAATAAATCCGGAAAACGGAGAGGGAACGCTTGCAGGTAAGGCACCCACTGTTTCTTTACGTTTGTATGAAAAAGTTTTTTTTACGAGGACGTTTTACAATGTGACAGGATGGGGAAAATGACGCTTTTAGTGCTAACAGGGAACTTTTCTTGATTACTTGCACGACTCGACACGACCTCAGCGAAGGATTGGTTACGTCTCCTGACGACGCTGACTTAAAAAATCGGGGCAAAACTTTGTATAAACAGCTCCATTTGCGAACTCCAGGGCCCAGTACGACCCAGCTATGGATTTCCATTCCTTTGAAAAAATTCGTTATAATCACAAGGTCTTGGAGTGGTTGGATATGCACCCCCTTGTGTTTCTACCTTGAGTCAATCTTCACATTTCTTGAGAGCAACAGCAACCTACTGGATGGTCTTTCCCTCTCTTAACTCCTGTTCCTGTTTCTGGCGTGTAGGTCAATAACGTGAAGATTGACTCAAGATAGTAGGAAGTGAAGATGCGTGTCGAGTTAGTCTTCGAGCTGAATCCCTTATGATGATAGAAGGAGATATTTTAATCAGTTAATATCTTAGGACTGACGATCTTATGATGATGATGATGAGACAGACCATAGAGTAAACTGAAGCTGTTAACAACCCTTTGTTCTAGAATTCATTTGAAAAATGAGAAACAGGCGGGAGCTAAAGCATTATACTGAAAATCGAGATATGATTGAAAAAATGGATTTTATCTATTAGTAAATGATTTAATGACAAATACAATATAACACATCAATGGCTTGCTCAGGCAAAAAATAACTAATATTTAAAATTAAAATTAGACACGTCTGCCTGTAGATCAACTTTGAGAGATTGGGCTTACAACGCGATGGGTCACTGGCGAGTTCGTTTTGGTTTTCTGTTCGAAATAATCTGACAGGGGCTCGGAAGTGTAATGAGGTAGACGGAGGAGTCACTTTAATAAAACCTTGGTAACCAAACCCGAATTTCAAACTATTTACCTATTATAGTGAGTTGGTAAGTCGTCAGTGGTTTCAGTAAATTACCGGTCGCAAACTCAATCTCTCCTTTCGTTTAGAATCTTCTGTAATTTTCAAAAGATGGTTCATAATTGGAATGAAATTTTTCATCCCAATTGTTTCTTAATCTGTGCTAAACTCCATTTCTTTTTATTTTCTGTTGTTTCATTTTAGAAAGAAACGATATAGGTGTTAATAAAAAATTCAAAAATAAAAAAGACAATGCAATTTATAACGCGCTTCGCTCCAACACTTGTCTGTTAATAATCGTATCACTTCTCATTCCTGATACGAAATTACTACATGTAATAGTCTAGACGTAAATAAATGAAATCAATTTAGATGATGCGAGGAAAGCTGCCGAGGTAATTCTGTTTATCTTGCGTGAAAATTTTCTTTACGTTTTGTCCTCAGAAAATACGAATCCGTGTTTTGAACGATCGAGTGAATGTTACGCAAAATTTACCAGAATATTAGAGGGAGGTGTTTTCAAACTTTTTTGTTTAGGAGATTGAAATCGATTGCCGAAAATGAAGATATATAATTGGATTTATAAACTAGGAATTTGAAACATTTGAAGCTTCAAAGGTGCTTGTGGTACCTTGTCGTTTACCGCAATTTACGGTGTGAGTTTTGTGAAATAGAGGGTCTAATGGTCTAAATATGGTCAGGTTCAATAGAAATAAAGGGCTGGTCGCAATATAAAATAATAATACAGCCGATATCATACAAAGAATTAATCCAGGGCTTCGCCTCCTAATTTGACCCATATATGGTAGAGAATCAGGAAATTGATAAATGAAGTGCACTTACATTATCAGTTTTTCCATAACTGCTTTGTCTATGATGCTGGTTGTTGTTGTAACAAGCAGCGTTTCGCGATGATGTATCTTGGTCTTCAAGGTAGCTGGGCAAGCTACCGCACACCCCCTTGCCGCCGCCCTTTTCGTCGGACGCGCGACGTCCTTTGCCTCCGCCGCAGATGCTGCCCGAAGACTGCGTGCGGCGTCCGTGGAGCCCTTTGGCCGAATGGCGGCTTACGTTGGCCCCCATGCGCGACTGGACTTCCTCGACGCGACTGCTGCCCTCCGGGGGATCATGGCGCTGAAGAAGCCGTTCCTGGCCCTCCTCGCTCTCGGAACTGACGTTTCTTTGTTCCTCCTGAAGACGCACTTCTTTATCATCAATGTCCTCGTTTTGGAACTGATCCGAAGACTCAGAATCGTCAGTTGTAGATGACTGGGGGTGACGGAAACCCACACAGGGGTTACGACTGAAATCAGAGGCAGCGCTGACGGGGGTGTGTTTGAGCGTCTGTTCTGGAAAAAGGGAAAATTTTGGTTAATATTAATATGTGAAGAAGTTCCACTGTCTCTATGATCCTTCCAATGCGATGATTAAAAGTTAAATTCGATCAGTGACTCTTTGGTCAGAATTTTGTCGAAACCGTCACAAACAAACCAAACGATGATGCTGCTGGTAAATAGGGGGATTATAAAATAATCAGAGACAGGGTAATAGGCGCCATCTTCTTACAATTGCTGAGTTAGTGGTTATTTATTAAAACCTATCATGATATTCTCCAGTAAAACGATTGCTTTGCTTGGTCAACGTTAACACTTAGTAAAGTATTCAGTAGGGGCTGTCCATAACCATATGACTCAGTAAGAGGTGGAGGGATCTAATAATAGGCTATTTCGCAAGGGTTTCTAATATTTATTGGTTATAAAATTGAAGTTTGCCTCCAATATCTACATAACTGACCTTGTAAGTAATGTTGAAAAGAGGTCTTATATTATTTTTTCGTTAGAGACAGAATTTTTTGGTCAGAATGGATTTGATTTTCTCCCACGAGACGAGGGAGGTGTAATGGAAAGATAGGAATTACGGGTTTCTAGGAATGAAGAAAAAAAGGATCTAACCAATTTATTTCTGGCCGACGTTCATAATACTGTACTGAGGTGTGTTCACTATTGTGTAACATTTTTTTTTTATTTCCGACCGGAAGCATTTGAAATGCTTGACGCTCTCCGATGCCTGGAATCTGTTTTCGCAAGAGTGGTTTCAATGATTGATTTATAGGTGGGAGGACATTTTCTTTTCGGATTATCTGACATTTTCCTGTTTTGTGACCTCAATCGATTTAGACGTTTTATTTAGAAAAATATTTAGTTACTTAATTTATTTAAAAATGACACAAAGGAGAAATTGGAAATGTTTTGTGCAATTTAATTTTCAACTTTATCCTTAAAAAATGTTTAATAATTTTATAATACCTCCCGAATCTTTGTCAAAAATATCTCTACTCTTAGCTGCTCGATCAATCATCAACCTTCCACTACGATATATTCTTACAAAAAACATCGCTAAAAAAACTGATGATAGATGTTTTGAAGTGAAAGTGCAGAAAACAATGAAGAAGTTCCACTTGTATCGAATTCGCTAATGATACAACCCCATTCTATAAATAACTGTTAATTTAAATGGAAAGTATATAAGTAAAACAGTGGAGAAGTTCCGCTTGTATTGAGTACTATGGATAGAACCCCATCTTATAAGTAATTGTCAAATTAATGTGATAGTGCGGAAGTAGTGAACAAGTTCTATTTGTATCGACTACTGTGGATAGAACCTCATCCTGGCAGCGATGCGAACAAGTTCCACTTGTATCGATTATTGTGCATGGAACCCTTTTCTATGATCAATTGACAATTTGAAGTGAAACTGTAGAAAACAATGAAGTTCCATTTGCATCGACTACTATGACTAGAACCTCATTTTATCAGAAATTGTCAATTTAATGTGAAAGTGCAGAAAGCAGTGAAGAAGTTCCATTTGTATCGACTGCTATGGATAGAATTCTGTCCTATAAGCAATTGTCAATTTAAACTGAAACTGCAGAAGACAATGAAGTTTCACTTGTATTGACTGCTATGGATAAAATCCTATACTATAAGCAATTGTCAATTTAATGTGAAAGTGTAGAAAACAGTGAGCATACTTCACTTGTATCGATTATGGTGCATGGAACCCTTTCCTATAACCAACTGACAATTTAAAGTGAAACTGCAGAAGACAATGAAGTTTCACTTGTATTGACTGCTATGGATAGAATCCTATACTATAAGTAATTGTCAATTTAATGTGAAAGTGTAGAAAACAGTGAGCATACTTCACTTGTATCGATTACTGTACATAGAACCCTTTGCTATAACCAATTGACAATTTAAAGTAAAACCGCAGAAAACAATGAAGTTCCACTTGTATCGACTGCTATGGATAGAATCCTATGCTATAAGCAATTGTCAATTTAATGTCAAAATGTAGAAAATATGGAACATGTTTCACTTGTATCGATCTCTTTCCTATAACCAATTGACAATTTAATGTGAAACGCAGAAAACAATGAAGTTCCACTTGTATAGACTATCGTGGATGGAACCTCATTCTATTAGCAATTGTCAATTGAATGTGAAAGTGCAGAGAATAGTGAAGAACTTATATCTATTAATGTGGATAGAATCTTACTTTTTTAATTAATTGTCAACATAAAATGAAACTATAGAAGACAGTGAAGAAGTTCCACTTCTACCCACTACTATAACTGAATTTAGTACTAATTTTTAGACAGATTTGTATAGAAACTAAACTAACTATTGATTGGTTAGGTTGGATCAACTTGATTGTTAGCTACCAAGTGGTATCTATAGTTAGTATAACTTTGTCTTACAATCAGTGTATTTTATTAGTTATAATATAAGTTCTAAGATCCTTAAGAAAGGAAAGGTGACATTTTTCTTTCGGCATAAGCCATATTGTATTGTACCTGGAAAGATGCCAGGAACTTTAGTTATGGAATCCAAATAAACAAAGTAGTACATATGCGTGCGGCACGCCCTTGGTTGCTTCTGTTTATGTAGGTATTTAATGATTGGGTGATGATACGTAACTTAAAAGAATGAAATTCAAATTTTACCTATATCGCAGCAAGTCGTGGTTGTACAATCTGACAGAGATGTGCTGTTGGTCATTTCTTTCTTTTTTCGTTTTTGTTTTTATCTCATTCTATAGTCACAATCACGTTAAATGCAGAGGAAACGAGATGGTTCTGCAGATTGTAAATTATTAAGCGGATGGAGAAAATGTCATCAGATCTTAAGTACGCTCAATGTCTGCTATGAAGTCGGGACACGTGCACGGAAAACTAATTCCCTTGAATAGCCCACTCCGCGTTCCGTTCCAATTTAGACTGAACCCACTTACTTACTTGGCACTACTTTGCAAGTTTATTACACATAAATATACATATGTACGTACATGTAAGACGTACAGTACTGCGAGTTTGTGTGCAGCTTTTACAAGAACAATTGACAAATGGTAAAGGGCTCGATGGGGTTGAATTGCTAGCAAAGATTAACGAGACTATTATGGCGTAATTAGACAGTTTGGATTGCCTTTGTTCTCGCAATAAAACTGCGGTTTCGGTAACAAATTTCCGTTTCCTATCTCTATATTTTTTTTTAATACACTATTTTAATGTACCTAATCATAATGTTAATATCTAGGAAGTCAGGACGGAAGGATTAGTAATAGGGATATAAATCAGAGGATAGCGTAGGGTCGTGTCGCCTTTAATAAAAAGAAGTCACTTCTATGCTCGCGAACGGTTAATTTAGAAATTCGAAAAAGGTTGTTAAAGGTGTATGTTTGGAGCACGGCGTTGTACGGGTGCGAAACATGGACAGTGGGAGCGGCGGAAAAGAAAAGGTTAGAAGCGTTCGAAATGTGGTGTTATAGGCGGATGATGAGGATATCGTGGGTAGAAAAGGTTAGAAATGAAGAGGTATTAGAAAGAATAGGAGAACAGAGGACTCTATGGAAGTCAATAAAAAATAGGCGAGACAGGTTGGTAGGACACCTTCTTAGGCATGAAGTTCTAGTCAGAGAAATATTAGAGGCAGAAACGGAAGTTAGGAGTGGTAGAAGTAAACCTAGAATAGATCACTGATCGCAGATGGTCAAGGACAAAGTTTAGCTCAGGATAGGAAAGAGTTGAGGTACGTGTCCGATCAGTCTTAGGACTGACGACCCTATGATGATGATGATGATGAATGTTAATATAAGTCGGAAAGAGGTAAAAAATTGACTCTAGATGATTTATCGATTGTGCTTGTGATAGTGAATAGTAGATTCGTTAATTACGCGTAATTAGAATTCGAGAGAAAAAAGTATTGGAACCAAAGTAGAAAATAATTACCTATTGTTTTTAGCATATATAGAATTTAAATTAATGGAGATTTCTTTTTTCGATAAAAAATCCACTATTACTGACGAATATTTAGGAGATACATATATTAGACATCAAGTACCTTATATATAATTTTAAGAATTCAACATATTGCAATATCTATACACATTGGCTTAACAATCTAGCGTTTTCTAAATCGGCCAAATATGCACATTTTGCTTTCCTCTTTAGAAATAAGCAAAGAAATTCATGGTCTCTATTATCGTTAGTATGCAACATAACTATAATTTATGTAGATGTAATGCCTAATATTTAGGTTATTTTAGTACTACGCCACTGGTTAATAGCATCTATTCATTGGGAAATTTTATTTAAATATGGCTTTCGAAATTTGTGGTTATTCTTCAATGTGTCTACTTCTGTTCCAAATTTTGACCTGAGTAGGCGGGTAAACTTGGCGATGCCAACGTTTATGTTATTGTTTTGAAAGTAACGAAACTGTAGTACAAATAGCGTTAATTAGTAGATAAAGTTCATGTTGGACAGGAACACGATATAGTTGTATAGCCGTTCACCAATATCAACATAATTACTCACAAATTAAGGAATACGACGTCTGTTCAAAAAGTATCGCGAATTTTGTGTTTTTTCAAAAATTATTTATTTATTCATGAATATCTATTTTAACCCCCCCCCTCCCCAGATATTATTCATTTGTGTCAACGTTTTTCCAATCCTCGAAGCACTTCAAAAAATCGGTTGTCTGTAAAGTTGGTTTACTGACGATAGTTGAACGTGACAACGTCATAAGAAAATACTGATGGAATGGTTTCATTTTTCAAAAGAAAATTTTAATTTTATTTGTTTGATAGATATTTTGTATGGATATAGAGAAGGAGGTAAATGGAAATGTATTATTGTATAGCAGCTGTCCACGCGGACGCATCGCTCACTCAAGTAGGAGAGAGACAGATGTCGAACGCTGCCGAACGCGGAGGCCGATTGTGCCTCTTTGTCGCTCGTTCCGCGCTCTCGCTTGCACTTCAAGCCTTAAATGGAACGCCTCAGAGC